TGTGTGTGTGTGTGTGTGTGTGTGTGTGTGTGTGTGTGTGTGTGTGTGTGTTTGCAACCCAATGGCCGTGTTTGCTCAAGAGTGCATGTGTACTGTTGGTCCTTTGTTGTCGCTCGTTGTCGCTCGTTGTTGAACTGGGCGTCTTTGGGAGTGTCCTTTTCTCTCGTCAAGGTAAAAAAAAGTAAAATAAAACAGTCAAAACAAAACAGCTTGTATGATCATCGTGTGTTCGCAAATCTTGCCCGATATTTTTATGGAATTATGTAATGTGTCAACAATGGCTCTTTTGTTGTAGTTCTGGCTTTTCTGTCTTATTTTTTAGGCGTCATGAAGTGGTCGCCAATCACATAAACATAGTTTGCAACATTCGTGATAATATGTGAATGTGTACCTTGAAACATGTTACTGTAGCAGCTGGATTTAAACATTCACAGTCGTTGGTAGAGAGCTCTGACAACAATCAACATGACTCCAATGCAAAGTTACGCTATCAAAGATTCAAACTTGCAGCCCATACCGGTAGGCCATATGTGGTGCCCTGACCGTACCTTCTTCTTACTTCTTTTGCCTTCCTCCGTCCCGAGCGGGTCATTCTCCTGCGTGTGGGTGGTTGGCGGGAACTCTGGTGTGGTTTGCTCCTTCTTTCTGATGAAACATAAAGAAAGCGTTGTCCTTATCTTTCGTCCGCCTTTTTTTGTTTGTTTGTCTGCTTGTTTCTCTCTTGTAACACCTCTAATCTTCGGTACTTACTTGGCCAAATCGTTTTGCATTTGCTGTGAAACGCTTACTAAAACAAACGGCACCAAACAAAGATCATCAAGGATTCAAACCACGATTCCCTGCTGCGCATGCAGGTAGGACATCTAGATGTAGTGAACTAACCAAACGCAACGCGTTAATTCTTACTCTCTGTCTTCCACCTTCCTGAGTGGGCTATTCTACTGCGCCACTTCTGTAGTATCAGGGTGTTGTCACCATTGATAACTTGAAGTGACCTCGATTGTTTTGGTCTGACTGTAGATTGAAGAAGCCCTAGGCTAGGGGGACGGAAACGTGTCGATTCTCTGGTAGCAGACAGGACTTAGGTTGTGTATCATTTACATTGTCAGGGTCATCCGTCCTGATTTTTATCGAAGCATCGTTCGACACAATTTTGATCATTTAAGAGGCGGGCTTCTGACCCTGGCAGTCAGGGTGAACCTGGGCTGAGAGGGATACAGCATCCCAGCAGAAAGACTCAGTGACTCCATAAAAATGTACTCCTCATTCAGGAGTCGAACTCGATTTTCCTGTGTTCGACAGCGAAGCACCTAACCGCTACACCATATACGTCGGTTCATTAAATTGTCTAAAGGAAAATTATTATGTTAACCATGAAAATGATTTTACTATTGCTGTG